TGAACACGAACACCGTCACCACCTTGGTCGCTGCGGCGGGAGGAGACACAGGGGGGCACTGAGGGGGGGGGGGAGGGCCTGGGGGGGCCGGGGGGAGCCCCCAACCCCTGCCCACCCCCCCTGGGGGCCCGGGGTGCCGCTCACCCAGCAGGAACAGCGAGGGGCCGTAGTACTCGGCGTTGCTGATGATGTGCTTGAGCGACGTGGGCAGCGACCCGTCCATCACTGAGGGGGCACCCAAAACAGGGGCTCAGGGGGGGCCGTGACACCCCCCCCCACCCCCAAGGGTCTGGGGGGTCTCAGGGACCACCCACCGTGGCGGATGCCGTCGGAGAAGGCGGGGTCCTGGATGGCTTTCTTGAGGAAGTTCAGCATGGATTTGAGCAGGGCGGCGCGCTGGGGGATGCACTGCACTCCTGGGGGGCACAGAGCGGGGTGAGACCCCCACGGTGCCCCCACAGCCCCCCCCCACATCCCCCCAGCCCCCCGGGGGTCACCTACCGCCGCGGGGGGAGGGGGTGGCACTGCTGGGGCCGGAGCTGGTGCTGGGCACGGCCGGGGGGGCCGAGGGGCTGCTCTCCATGGCCACGTCGGTCACTGTGGGGGCACAGGGACAATGGGGGGTCTGGGGGGACACCGGGGGGTCCCAGGGGACACCGGGGGGGGGACAGACCCCCCGCTCACCCTCCATGTCCGTCTCCATGTCCTCGCCCTCGGGGGCTGCCGTGGCCGGGGGTCTCTGCACCTTTGGCTTGATGACAAAGGGACACTCCCGGCGGCACAGGTCGACCTCGTGCTGGGGGGGGACACTCAGGGGTCCAGAACGCCCCCAAAAACACCCCGGGGGACCCCCAAAATAACCCCAGAGGGACACAGAACAACCCCAGGGGGATCCCCAAAATAACCCCAGGGAAACATAGAACAACCCAGGCAAACCCACCCCAGAAAGATCCTGGGGGGGGACCCAAAATCACCAGAGCTGCTCAGAAAAACCCAAGTGGGACTCCAGAACAACCATAGGGGACCCAAAACACCCTGAAGGCACCCCCAAAAAACCCCCAGAGGACCCCAGGACAACCCCAGGACACCCCAGAACCACCTCAGGCGTCCCCAAAGCTGGGCCAGTGTGACTCCAACCCCCCCCGGGTGTCCCCAAAGCCGGGGCAGGGTGACCCCAACCCCTCCCCAAGGGACCCCAGGACCCCCCAGAGCCGTGCTGGGGGTCCCCAGGCCCCACCTCGAGGCGGTAGATGAAGATGGAGAGGCCGCTGTGGGCCTGGAAGGCCGCCATGTCCAGGTTGGTGATGAGATCCACCACCCGCACCGCCCGCGTCACAAACGTGATCTGGTCCTGCTCGTCCCCCAGGAACTTGATCACCTTCGAGGGGGGAGGGACAAAAACAGACTCAGGGGGGTCCTTAAACGGGGTCAAACCCCCCAGAAGGGAGCAGAGCCCACCTTGAGCAGCGCCTCCATCATCCCACACGACACCAGCGCCTCCCCGCCCGCGTCGTAACTGGCCAGGTGGTAGAGGAAGGAGAAGAGGGCCGTGGCGAACTGGTGGGGGTAGGGCTCCATGGAGGGGTCTGGGGGGCGCAGGGGGGGTGTCAGGGCGGGTCAGCCCCCCCCGGGCCCCCCAAAGCCCCCAGACCCACCGATCATGGCCTGGATGCAGTTGCGGACCAGCACGGGCAGGAAGCCGTGGTAGGAGGCGGTGCCGGTGCAGTCGATGATGCTGCTCAGCTTGGGGGTCCTCTCCAGGTGCACGATGGACGTGAGGGTCCGCAGGGACGCCGCCTTGATGTCCTGGGGGGGGCAGGAGGGTCAGGGGGCGTCTGGGGGGGTCTGAGGCAGGTCTGGGGAGTCCCAGAGAACGTTTGGGAAATCCTCTCCAGGTGAACTGTGGACATGAAGGTCGGCAGCGACGCTGCCCTGGGGTCCCAGTAACGGGCATAAAGGAATCAGGGGAGCCTTCGGGGGGGTCCCAGAGGGGGTTTGGGGGGCCTGGCAGGAAACAAAGGGGTCAGGGGAGTGTTTGCAGGAGTTTGGTGGGTCCCAGAGGAGGTTTGAGAGGTCCCAAGGATGTTTTCAGGGGGTCTCACCATGAGCTGTTTGTCCGGGATCTGCAGGGTGTGTGTGGGGGGGGTTGGGGG